AAAGCCTGTTAACTTGGATGATGTGGCAAGTGAAGAACCCATTTTTATGCTGATGTGTCAATAATTTTTTTTAAAAAAATCCTTAAAATAATAAAACCTTAATATTCAACTTTAAAAACTAATATTTTTAAAACATAATTAAAACAAACAAAAAAACCAAAGAATTTTCCAACTTCCTCTATAGATTCGTGGTTCTCCAACTTCCTCTACAGATTCCTCATCAGATCTAGACACAGAGGTCAATAAAAATTACAGATACTTAAGATATAAGTTTTCTCATACTAGTCTTGTCTTCCATGGTTCATTTGGGATTTTGTAATGAAATTCCAGCTTCAATTTCTCTGTGTTCATCTCTAGCCTTCGCTAATCTTAGTCGAATCAAGCTGATTGAGAAAATTCCAAGAAGCATCTCCAAGCTGAGAGTCCAGAGCATTCTCAATTTGTCTAGCAACCAACTCACGGGCGAAATTCCCAATGAAATTTGCAATATGACTAGCCTTGCAACTCTCGATCTCTCCGATAACAACTTCATCATCAAACTTCCAACCGGTGGTCAATTTATGGTCTTCAACAACACGTCGTTTGCTGGAAGTGAAATCTAACAAAAAGCAAAAGAAACTCTGCAAAGAGCATTCACTATTGATTGATAAAAGCTCATGTTTATTCAACCTTTAAGTTTTTGTACCAAAACCAGACTAATTAGATTGGATCTGACTGGGAAGAGAGGGGGAGAGGGAGGAAAAGAAGGAGAGAAGGAGAGAAGGATATAGTGGGTCACAGAAGGGCAAATCTGTATGGGTTAGGTTGGGTCGACGTCGAGTTGGTCGGGTTGTGTCGGAGAAGGTGGTGGGGGGAGAGAGAGGATGAAGGTTGAGAAAATTCTTTGTGTTTTTTAATTATGTTTTGAAAATATTAGTTTTTAAAAAATAATTTTAATGTTTTATTATTTTAAGGATTTTTTATTGACATATCAGTATAAAAGTGGGTCCTTCACTTGCTACGTCATCAATAACTGACTTTTGGGTGGAGTCAATGGCAGGGGGCAAAGTGGGTCACCAAACCTCGGTCAATGGATGAAAGTGGGTCATTTTGAGTTTTGGGGGGCAAAGTGGGAGTTGACCAAAGTTTCAGGTGGCATTAGTGTAATTAAGCCTAATTTTTATAACAATCTAAAGCCTTTGTAAGTTAAAGTGGCTTTCTTCTCATACTAGTATAGCTTTAATACCTTCTAATTCTTTGACTGAAGCTTTTGCATTTGTATTGGATGATCATAAGTTATGACCTCAAATCTTAGGGGGGGTGTATTCAATTAGGATTTTAATATATTTTTTTGAAACTTAAAAGTCTAGTGGTATTCAATTATGATTTTTAAGTAATCAATAAAAATTTGATGGTATTCAATTAGGATTTTAAAATCATCAATGCATGTCTGGTGGTATTCAATTAGGACTTTTAAAAGATTAGAAAAAGTATGGTGGTATTCAAATACTTACCGATTTTGAGATATTTCATTAAATGATGTATTGTGTGAAACTTTTGAGTGGGTGATATAAATACCAAACCCCATAAAAAATCTCAACCCATTACATCTTATTCTCACGTTGGTTTGTTTTGGGAGAAGATGAACAAACTTGAGAAGTAAGGGGGTGTATTCAATTAGGATTTTAATAATAAAAAATTGAAGCTTAAAAGTCTAGTGGTATTCAATTATGATTTTTAAGTAATCAATAAAAATCTGATGGTATTCAATTAGGATTTTAAAATCATCAATGCAAGTCTGGTAGTATTCAATTAGAACTTTTAAAATATTAGAAAAAGTACAGTGGTATTCAAAAACTTACTGATTTTGAGGTATTTTATTAAATGATGTATTGTGTGAGACTTTTGAATGGGTGATATAAATACCAAACCCCATAAAAAATATCACCCTATTACATCTTCTTCTCACGTTGGTTTGTTTTGGGAGAAGATAAACAGACTTGAGAAGTAAACAAGGTTCTCATCTTTCTTCACATGCTTGTTCTCATATATGCTATCATACCATTTTTTTTGTCTCTATTTGTATTATTTTTGTTACTTTGCTGTGGGCACAAGCGTACATACATTTGTTTTTTTATATATGTGTTGCTTTGTTGTGGAACAAACAAAGAAGAAGAAACCAATTTGTAAAGATTGATAGTTTGGGTGTTTTTGGTTTGTTGCGCACTGCCTCATTCTTTAGGATTGATTTTTCTTTTTTTTATTTTATATTATTTCATAAAATAATATTTTACTTTTGTAAATTGGCGAATGATGATTCGAATAACTATAGAGCTTTGTTTTGATCTAAACTTGAGTCTTTCTTATCTTTCTTTTATATAATACTAGTGGACGGTGGAATGACTAGAAGAAGTCCATCACTAGGAAATTTCCTTGCATTAGGATGCTTTATTTCTTGGTTTGAATGCACAGTGTTTGGGTCTTCTAGTCCCACTTGGGAGAAAAGAACCACTGTGCTACGAATTTTACTTCGGGCCTCTAGAACATGAAAAATAATCAAGGGTTTGCATACCAATCAATTAATGTAAGTTTATCAAGTTACATATGTAATGATATTTATTACATACTAAAAAAAATCTAATCTTTACTTTTATTTGCTCAGATTGGTGTATCATTATAAGAAGATTGAAGCATATTTTATTTGCTCAAGAGTATCCAGGTAACTACACATCACTACAATTTGAGACTTTCTTTTCTTTTTTGCAAGTATGAATTTGTCCTAATGGCTTTTTATCATGTGCTTATTTGGCTCTATCATTGTTGTTTGATGTAAAGTTGTGAAAATTATGTGTGATATATGATATAGTAGTAAAAGAAGTTTTTTTTACATGTATGATGTAGTAAAATGAAGGACTCACAACAAGGAAAGGACAAAGGAAAAGGCAAAAGTTATGATAATTATGAACTTTGGACCAAGGCTGTTAGAGCTATTAGTTGATGGTATCAGTTGAGGATGGCGTGATAGTAATGAGTCAATAAGCAAACAATAGAAAAAAAAGTACTTCCTCTCCTAAATGAGAAAATCGTGTCTCCTAAAACATATAACAATTACGTGAGCCGAATGAGATGGTATAAGAAGCAGTCTGACAAAATGACTACTCTTATGCGTAACAACTCTGGATTTGGGTGAGACTTAATTACAAAGAAGTTCACGGCTAGTGATGAAGTATGGGAAAATTACTTGAAGGTGAGCTTCATATTATATGTTATGTCACTTACTAGCTTACTCTAATATTTTATTTATAATATATTAACAATCATCATTTTTTTTTCTTTGCTAGTCCCACCCAAGTCACAAGAACCTTCAGACAAAAAGTGTTGCTAATTATGATGATTTAAAAATTGTGGTTAGGGGTGCAACTGCTACTAGGAATGACTCACTTGCATTAGGTGTCACCGATGCAACAACTTTTAGGGATGAGGAAAACCTAAATTTTAGGATGGAAGACTTTACATATGATGTTGCCAATGAGACATTTGTAGCACCAAGTCACTATCAACCATCCTTCCAACCTTCATTACCCTACCAATCTACACCACCCTTTGAGTCCCCTTTAGGTTTTGAGGTTCCTCAAGGAAAAACAAGTTAAAAGAAGAGAAGTAGATCCAAGTATGAAGGGAGTTCTAACTCAATTGGTTCCACCAATCAAGCCAAAGTTCTTGAAACCATATCCACCAATTTTGAGAAAATCTATGCTCTAATGGAGAAAAGAGAACGAGATAGAGAGAATAGTAATTGGGATGCTATGAAGGATGTACCAAACCTGGATGATAATGTTCGATACAAGGCAGTTGAATTGCTTAATACTAAAGTAAAACAAGACATGTTCTTGAAGATGGCACCCGAAGAGCGCTTATCTTGGATATCCTTCAAATTGGGATGAATTGTTATTTGGATCACCTTGGTTTTTGGTTGAGAATCGTTTACTTTGAATTGTTGAACTATGAATTTTATTTTTGGTATTTTTGTTGAACTATGTATTTTGGTTGAACTATGTATTTGGTTTAATTTGTTATATTTTAATTTCCATGAATATGCTATTTTTTTTCACACCATGAACAAAAAGGGGTGACCAACTAAAATAATATGTATGAAAATCACTAGAAACGATAAAGTAATATAACCAACTAAAACTATCATCTATACAAGTAATATGAGGTCCTCATGCAAACAGTACTTTTCATTGTCCATTGATCACTAGAAACAATAGATCTCATTTCATTAAAATTGATTGTTCTAATTAATATGTATGTGAATTTTATTTTATTTTATATTTAATTAGCATGTGAATTACATGATAAAGAATTAATTTTTCATCTTTTTTTTTTCCTTTGTAGTCTCATGTATTTGAATTCTACAAACAATGTCACTTTCTACAATTCCCTAATTTGTTGGTTAATTTTGATTTTTTTTTTCAGCGGCATATATTTTAATGTCTACATACAATGTCATACCCAGGCATATATGAAGATCATGAAAGAGAGGAAGAAGAAATCGATAATGAAGAAATTGGTGAACAAGAAATAAATGAAGATTTGAATGAAGAATTTGATGAAGGCATTAATATTTTACGTATGGCAATTCAAACATTAATACATGTGCCACATCAGTTTGAGGGGGATGAAGGACATATTGAGCATCCGCTAACTCGACAACGAATTACTATCATTGGATATGATTATATATATCAGGCATTGACGATGATCCCGCAATTTTCCGACAAGTATATAGGATGTATGCTGATGTGTTCCAAAAGTTATGCACTATCCTTCGAGAAAAAACACTCTTAAAGAGCACAAGATATATTTGTGTTGAAGAAATGCTAGTAGCATTTTTACAAATTGTCGGTCAAAATTCTCGATATTGTGTCATTCATAAAACATTTGGGCCATCACAATTCGCCACAAGTGAAAATTTTCACCAAGTTTTGAGTGCTTTTAATTCAATAGCATTTGAGTTGATGGCTAAACCAAGATCAGGAGTGCCAGCTAAAATAAGAAAAAGTACAAGATTTTATCCTTATTTCAAGGTAAGTGACAACCATTCCATAATATTATTATTAATGTTACTATCATATTATTATTATTATTATACCATTACATTTTTGAATTATTGCAGGATTGCATTGGAGCTATTGATGGCACACATATTCCAGCAATAGTGAGGGGACACGATGTCAGCAACTATCGTAATCGACGTGGAAATATATCCAAAAATGTATTGGCATCTTGCAATTTTGATTTGGAATTCATGTATGTCCTTAGAGGATGGGAGGGTTCATTAGCGGCTTGCAATTTTGATTTGGAATTCATGTATGTCCTCAGCGGATGGGAGGGTTTGGCTCATGATTCAAAAGTGTTAAGTGATGCTCTATCAAGGAGGAATGGTCTTAAAGTTCCTCAAGGTAAATACTTATCTTTTTGGTGGGAAATACGTTTTTATTTCTATGTTGCATGCTAATATATATATATATATATGTACTATATAATTAGGTAAATATTTCCTAGTGGATTGTGGATTCGCCAACCGACGCCAATTTTTAGCTCCGTTTCAAGGTGTGCGATATCATCTCCAAGATTTTGCAGGTCATGGTCGTGACCCTGAAAATGAAAATTAGTTGTTCAACCTTCGTCATGCATCCTTATGGAATGTGATCAAGAGGATATTTGGTATTTTTAAATCGCAATTCACAATTTTTAAGTCAGCTCCTCCATTTCTATTTAAAACACAAGCAGAGCTAGTGTTGACATGTGCAGCATTACGTAACTTTCTTCATAAGGAGTGTTGTTCCAATGAATTTCCTATTGAGCCAACTGATGAATCTTCATCATCTTCATCCTCATCAATACCGGTTGATGAAGAGGACAATTTTGAGCTAGCATAGCTTCAACTATGTGGATAGATGCTATCTAGGTCATATGAGGAGATGAAGCTCCAACAAATGTTTATTACGTCTTGAATAACTTTTGTTTTCCTTAAACCATGTCTAGTTGCTACATGACGTTATTGTTATTACTTTTATCATTTGGTTATTTATCCATGTGGCATAATTAATCCATGTTATTATATGATTTTTATTTCATATGAAATCCTAGAGCAAATCTTTTGATTCTTTGGAGAATACCAAAAAGTCCTAAGTGAATCATAAGAAAATCATGTAATTACAATCTATTAAAATCATAAGTAAAATCTTGTAATTAAAAATCCTCCTGAAATCCATTACATTAAAATCCTGTGATTACAATCTATTAAAATCACAATTGAATACACCTCATAACTTGACTGCATTCAATAATAATATTTATAACCACTCAACAATATCAAATAAACTTGTCATTAAGAGTTTCACTATTCATGATCACTAATTTTAAATTAGAAACATTGTTTGTCATCGATCAATGCATGTCTTCTATATCCCACGAAACAAACTTGAGAAGTACATACATTTTATCTCTCAAGGGCTCAAGCAAAGGTATTTTCTTGTAAAACCAAAACTACTTTTACTCCAAAACAATAACTATAATTGAATTGAAAAAATATATTATTTTACAAACTATCCAATGTAAACTTCATACCAGCAGCGCAACAAATATCTGGACACAGATGTTGACTTTTAGCAATTCTTAAAGATTTTTCTTTCCAAAAGCTTTGATATTGCATTTGCCCAATTATAGTTTGTCATTGTTCAAACATCTTGAAAATGTGAAATTACGTTTCAAGAGATTGAATTATCACTATTGCAAAAGAACATTGTAATACAAAATGAAAATACATAAGGCATACAAAATCTTAACATTCTTGTTGGCAGGGGCAGAACCACAAGTTTTGAAGAAAAACTAATAATAAACCACAAATGTCATGCCTTTTGGTTTTTTCCTTTGCAAAATCTACTACCTTTTGTTTTGTTTTTCCTCAAAGTCTGTTTCTTTATTATTTGCCTGGGGCAAAAGATTTTTTAAGAAGGAAAAAAAAACCTATATGGCTCACCATCAAATACAACACATTAGAGACATATAATTTTCTCAAATTTACTTGTATTCTCTTTCAAGAACGGAACAGTACATTAGCCTAATTATATTGTTCTTGTGTTTACAACTAATATATATATATATATGTGAAACATAATTATTTAGATTTTTGCACTTTGCATTTTAGAAGTTTATTCGGTTGATGCCAAGAAATTTTAACGTATTCAAACTGCAAAGGTAAAAATATCATTAAATTCACCCACCAAAAAATTCTTTGTTCCGCCCTTGCTTGTTGGGTCTCTATACCTACTTTAAACATTGCATATTCAATATTTTGCATGCTAACCCTTCTAATGGCTTCAAAATTCGCCTCATTTTTTGAACTCTGTTTATTAAAATTTATCTCTCGATGACCAACATTAGGCAAGCCAATTAGTTCCTCAACATCAAACCGTGTGAACCTTTCACATCTACCACCTAGTCTGAAATAGCTTTGAAACACTTAATTAATCTAATTATATGTATAACCCTTCTTATCCATGTTGTTGCTCGTCATAAGCTTTTAAAAGACCCCAAAATGGTGTTTCCCTTATAATTTCACAATGTTCTTTTTTAGCACTCAATCTCAAAGCATTAAAAAAAAAAAAGAAAGGGCCCAAAACGAGACGTACTACAGTTTTCCAAACTTTCTCTCGTTCATTTCCATTTCCAAACATGGAATAGTTTACCTATAAACACAACAATTTACCTCCATCATCATCCATTTACCTAGAATTATATGCCTAAGAATATATTTAGTAGTTTACGTACTATTTCAATTATATTTTTTTTTAATGTATATTTTTTAAAAGAATTATGAAAACATATCCTCTCAATCATGCCCAAAGGAGAAAAGCAAACTCAAATTAGATACGTTTGACTAGAAAAAATTGTAATGGCGATGGGTTAACTATAAAAGTGATAAGTCCATAAATATATACAATTATGTACTCTTTTTACTTAGGTTTTGTAGGAGAATTAGATTTAAAAGGGGCTTACTTTGCTTTTCTAATTTTCAAGTTTTCTGCGATCTTATAAGGTTTTTAAGGGAAAATCAACTTTTCGAAGGAATTTTAGCACAAGGCCAATTGGAGATGAAAGCTAACTACTAGAAGTTCAATCTGTGATTTTTCTAGAATTCTCTACCGAGCCAATTGGTACAGTATTACAAGTAAAGTTAGCCCACATGCAGACAGGATAGTTTCGTACATGTTACGTGAATGTGAAGAAACGGAAGCCGTCCCGAATTTTCCAAGTTACTGCTATATGTGGTTGGAAAGATAAGACATTTATCTTTATAAAATATATTTTTAATAATTTTTCTAGAAAGTTGAAGATCCCCAAATCGTGTGACAATTGGGCTGAGCTGTATTTCCCTATGGAGTTAGGAATTGTGATCCTTACTTTCCTATTTAGATTCCTTGTTTATCAAGACTTCTTGGACAACTTTTCAGTCAATTTTAGGGTTTAGAACTCTGATATAAGTGATATAAAGGCCAGCCAAGGCCCCCATACAAGGGATTCACGTCCTAAGGAGATCAACCACATAAGAGGAGAAAGCTACCAACGAGTTCTTTCTTTTCCTTTCTTCTTTTAATTTTCAGGTCTTATGTATTTATTTTTTAGTACATCTAATAACATGAGTAACTAATTTCTTGTTAGTTAAGGCTTAATCTTGAAGCCCTAAACATGATTTCAATTCTATAAACAAGTTTGAATGGATTTTTTAGTTTCTACAAGCGTGATGATTTCGGTTTCTCTATGTTATGTGAATTCTGATATTTTGCTTCTTTGAGTAGCTAACTTTAAGGCATGTATTGGAATTAAATTGTTGTAGAACATAGGTGAATTGCCATATTGAATGTGTTCTTGTTTGCAACGAATAATTGGGTTAAGAATTAGTTATGAGAAATCGATTCTTGAATTCCTAATAACAAATACCATGTTTTAGGGTTTTTGTGACACTCGTATTCTCTTTGATCTTAATGGATTCTTGATTGTTAATTTGAGTAAATGCCATATTGGATTTCAATTAAGAATACACGTGACGCAGCACAAGCAAATACATTTTCAAGCAAAAATCCTAAAGAACAATAGTCTGGAATCCACCAGGAAATTAGAGAGAAAATTCTCCTTGAATTATTTGATAAAAGTCGAGATGATTTCAACCAAGCATGACAACTGATTAAATACAATGTTCTCACCCATTGGACTGCCCTAGGGAGTTACTGAAAACGTAACAGACAAGAAACGAAAAGTCTGTAAATTGAATACTACGTTCTCACCCATTGGATTGCCCTGGGGAGTTATTGATAATGTAACAAAAAAGAAACAAAAAGTCTATAAATTGAATACTAATTTTAAATGCACTTTTGGAAGGCCAAACGACTTCAGAAGTCCAAAATCCATCATATGTCACAACATAGTAGTGAGTTGGACTCATGACGTCATTCCCTTTTCGAGAATGTATTATGCGACCCAATCAAAGCTCGAACGCCAAATCTGCAAATTCCTGCTATGTCATTTTTCACTTCTTCGCTCCAGTTCTTCTTCAATCCATTCAGCCATTTGTTCTACATTAGTCCCCTCCACCTCTGAAGAACTCGACCCCGAGTTATGTTCAGGATAAAAGGTTTTATCTTCACGAAACTCATATAAATCAGCAACATTAAAAGTATTGCAAATTCCCATAGAATCTAGTAATTCAATAACATAGGCTTTGTCATTGATTTTTTTAGGACCTTGTAAGGACCATATTTTTTAGGCTTCAGCTTGCTATATGTACCAATAGGGAACCTCTCCTTCCTCAAAAACACCATCACATAATCTCCTTCTTGAAACACCTTAACTCGCCTATGCTTGTCTGCAGCGGCTTTGTACTTAGCATTAGCTTGTTCAAGTTTTTCCTTCACTTCATCACGAACAACCACCACTACTTAGCCAATTTTCCCGCTGCAATACTGGTTTTCTGGCCTTTAGGCAGCTTCACCAAATCTACAACATGATTAGGCACATCAGTATAAATAATGGAAAACGGTGACTTCCCTATTGCACTATGAATTGCACTGTTATATGCAAACTCCACCTGTGGCAGTGCATAATCCCATTACTTCGGCTTCTCTCTGCAAATGCTTCGCACCATATTCCCCAACGTTCGATTGGTAACCTCAGTATGGCTGTCAGTTTGAGGACGGGCAGTGCTACTACAGTTCAAAGTAGTCCCAAACATTCTCCACAAAGTGATCCAAAAAATTGGTCGAAGAACCATAACAAAAGAACCAATAAATGGTCGAAGAACCTAATTCATAAGTCTCATGAAGGTGCTAGGTGCATTTGACAATCCGAACGGCATCACCAGCCATTCATATAACCCTTCCTTGCTCTTAAATGCTGTTTTCCACTCGTCACCTGGACTGATGCGAATTTGGTGGTATCTGCTACGCAAATCTATTTTGGAAAACACCTTAGAGCCTTCGAGCACATCCAAGATATCTTCCAATCGCGAGATGGGAAATCTGTATTTTATTGTAATCTTGTTGATTGCTCGACTATGAACACACATATGCCATGACTGATCTTTCTTTGGAACAAGAAGGACTGGAACCGCACAGGGACTCAAGCTCTCCCTGATGAAACCCTTCTATAACAACTCTTCAATCTGCTCTCTTAGGATGTCGTTCTCCTGAGGGCTCATGCAATAATGTGGCAGATTTTGTAGACTAGCCTCAGGTACCAAATCAATGTGGTGTTGTATATCTCTCAACGACGGCAACTTATTTGGCAGCTTGTCAGAAAATAGTTCCTGAAATTTTGACAAAATCTGTTGCACTTCAGGAGGAATTACATTTTCTTCTTTGTTGGCCTTTAACAGCCCCTT